GCTGCTCCTGCTGCTGCTGCTGCTGCTGCTGCTGCTGCTGCTGCTGCTGCTGCTGGTGCTGTTGTTGCTGATGCTGATGCTGTTGTTGCTGCTGATGCTGTTGTTGCTGCTGATGCTGATGTTGCTGCTGATGCTGCTGCTGCTGCTGTTGCTGCTGATGCTGCTGCTGCTGCTGATGCTGTTGTTGCTGCTGATGCTGCTGCTGACTTGTTGCTGCAGCTGACTTTTTGCTGCTGCTGATGACGCGTTTGCTGCTGCTGTTTTGCTGCTGCTGCTGCTGCTGTGCTTCTCTCACTCCTGCTGCTGCAGCAGTCTTGTTGCTGCTGCAACGGGGTTGCTGCTGCTGCGCTGCTGCTGCAGCTCCTCCTGCTGCACCTCCCCTGTTGCTGCTGCTGCTGCTTTTATATTTCACTTTCCTTCCTTCTTCTGCTTCTGCTTTGCTGCTACATTTTCTCCTGCTGCTGCCTCTGCTGCTGCTGCTGCTGCTGCTGCTGCTGCTGCTGCTGCAGGTATTCCTACAGCTGAGCCGCTGCAGCCATACTCTTTGGTGTCGATTGACGTTACTCTCTATCTAAACGGCTTCCATGGTGATTGCTGCTCCACTGCTCTCTATGAACCTCCTGAGGGGCCCCCAGGGGGGCCCCCGGGGGGGCCCCCGGGGGGGCCCCTAGGGGGCCCCCTTCAGGGGCCCCTAGGGGGGCCCCCAGGGGGCCCCCATGCAGCAGCAAGAACTGTGAGCATGAGAGAAATACAACAAAAGAAGAGACTGATGGAGATAGCTGAAGAAGCAACAAGGAGGGGTATACAGGCATGCAGAGAGGGAGCGCCGTGAGGAATCAATGGCTGCTGCTGCTGCTGCTGCTGCTGCTTTGCTGCTGCTGCTGCTGCTGCTGCCTTTGTGTTGCTGTTTTGGTGTTGCTGGATTGGTGCTGCTGCTTTGTTGCTGCTACTTGGTTGCTGCTGCTCCTGTCGTGTTGCTGCTGTTGCTGTGTTTGTGTTTGTGTTTGTGTTGCTGCTTTTCTCCTGCTGCTGTTGCTGCTGTTTTGTTGCTGCTGCTGCTGCTGCTGCTGCTGCTGCTGTGTTGGTGCTGTGTTGGTGCTGCTTGTGCTGCTGCTCCTCGTTTGCTGCTGCAGCACCATATTTGTTGCTGCTGCTATCCATTCATATTTCTCTTTCTCCTTATACACCATAAATACATTAATATTTATATTTTTATTTATATTTTTATTTATATTTTTATTTATATTTATATTTATATTTAGGTTTTCTTCTATTGGTTTGTCTATCGAGCGGTACCTGGCGTCAGTAGCTGCCTATACACCCCAGCAGTTCTGCGGCCACGGCATCGGCAGGAAGTTTCATCAGCCCCCCATTGTA